TTTATTTTATTATCACGTGTGCACCAGCTGACTGTGTATTTCCACTATACATGCAGTTGTCAAATCAACCAACAAAATCATAACAACACATTCAACTAATTAACAACTGACGCTATGTCACATGTGTAGATTGATATACCTTCACATGACCTTTATTGCCATATTGTAACTTTTCTTTTTTTTAGGGGGAGAAATTAGGGTAAAGGTATGGGATAGGTGAGAGGCATGTACAATGTATTTTTGGTTTGTTTACAGCATGTTTTGAGGTTTGAAACATTTTAAAAATGATAATTATTCACTAGGAGCGAAGTAAATGAATGTTTAAAGCGAGCGTGAGGGAATTGAGTCCTAACAGACGATAACAACACAGGCTAAAAACACAAAGGCTCATGGGTAGACACTTGTTTGTAAACAATGACAAGCTATGGCCATCTGACGCATGCACAGGTGACGACTCCCTCGCTTTAATTAGCCCAGCTGCAGGATGAATAGCACTGTCATTCCACTTTTTTTTTTAATCTTTAGATGCTTTTCTTGTATCTCAAAAAAATCATCTGGTGACGCAATTTTTTTCCGGTATGAACTCACAATAATGAAAGTATGACGAATATAATATAAAATCTTAAATTCGGCTCGAACCAAAAGTCTACTCCAAAAATGAGGGCGCCTTCAAATGCCCCCCCCCCCCCAATTTTTGACGCCGTCAAAATACGGATTGTTTTATTGCTAGAGGTTGTGCGTGTTGCGCTGGTGCAATAGACAACAATAATCGTAATCATAAAGGGTCGACATATTTTATTACTTGGTATTTTAGATACGTGATGGACTGATTGAATGTTCGAGGTAAATGTCGAGGTCAGAATAGATAACATGAGATCAACTTCTATAATGCTTGTGTTCAGCTGTGACTACTGCAAGTCTACTGAACTTGTCGGCTGAGACGCACCATAACGTTCAAATCTTATTTTGAAGTCCACGCAACAGTTAAAACTAACCTTCGTGACTTATCCATCAATCACCACAGACCCGGAAATATAGAAAGTTCAACACTGAAAAGAATCTCGTACATTTTCAGTCTGTTTATTCCTAATATATATATTTTCATTTTATAAATTTAATGACCTTGTAATTTCAACTTTGTATATACAATATAATACAAAGCTACATATTCATAAATATTCAACAATTTTGAGTATGGTTGGAATATCAACTTGAGAGATCAGATAATTCACGAATCTTGTTCTACTGATTCTGAAATACTTTGCTCTTCAAAAGCAGCCGACAAAAAAACACACGGTGTGTTTCAACACTACAGCAGAAGACAGACGCCAAATTTTAATCATTTTCACATAGGACTGATATCAGAAGAGTCAAGTTCATGTAACATGTCACAATCATATTCGTTTACAATTGCTGTTAGGTAAGACCGTACCCGCACCGTATCTTGTTGAAGCACAGGCGCTCGGAACGTTTCTTGGCTAATATAAAATGACCTAAAGTGGGATCG